CAAAATATAGATAATTGTTGATAGATATGTTGAATATGGCTTAGTTCTATATAAATTATGTTTTGTAGAACATAGATGAATATGGTGGAATTTAGGAAAAGAAGTGAATAAAAAGGCTAAAATGGAAGAAAATTAAAGATCAAGAACCAAAGTCCCGGAAGGAGAAACGAATATGTGAAATAGTCGAAAACCAATTTGGCGAGAATATGAAGTATTGGAAGAAGAAGTGAGAAAAGAGGTCAAAAAAGAAAAACGGAGTTCAGGAACCAAAATGTAAAGAATGAATTTTCACTTGAAATATGCTATAGCATAGTTATATTCTCCATGCGGTCATATGTTGTGATTCATGGAGTTCCAAGGCTAAATTTCATTGAACCATGTTATAGCATGCGATTGTACTATGCTTTGGCATTGTACATTTTCAGAGGAAAAATTCTGGTCTCTTTATATGACTCAAACTCTTATGGAAACAAGATTTATGACGTCTTTTAAAGACTTAGTGCAGTCCATAAGAAGTTAACCACACATTACTGCACATTCTAAGAAGCATAGTTATTAGACCCGATGGTTGACCCGAGAAAGTCATAGGGTCACCGGGTCAGTGGTTGAACCGGTGGGTCATTGTTAGATCATAATTTTAATTAAAATATATTTTTTAATTTTTTCTTTCTAAATCTAGATATATATGTTTGGCTTGCTTGTCACATGGAGTTTCACCAGCTTCCTCGATTGTGAAGGATGAAGATTTTCATGTAGGAACCCAATGTTCGAATCATCCTCTTTGCAAGTTGGAAAAAGGGATTTTACTTTGTACTTTGTAAATTGAAATATATATATATATATATTTGCTACATATTATAGACTAAAGGACGGCAAGGACATGACATTCCAAGGAAGAGGCCTGGGTTCGAATTAGCTTCTTTCCAATTTGATTAAAAAAAATAAATTTACAATTTACTTGGGTGACCAGCCGTTTCAAACATTGAACCAGATCTGTTACCTCTTAAACACGTCCGGTTCAAGTGGATTTTGAACGGTTTAACCCGATTCCTTTGTTTGTTTTTTTAATTAATGAACTCCGACCGGACCACTATCCGGTTCGACGGTTCTGGTCCTAACCAAATAGTCCGGTACGATTTTGATAACTATGCTAAGAAGTTTTAGAGTCTAGAAGGAGGTAAGAAACATGAATATCGATTCCAAGACTTAAAAATTCAATTCGGTGCTTTCGATTTTTCAATATTTCTTTTATTTTCTTTTTCGTAACATGCTGGGCTAGATTTTATTTTTTTGCCCCCCCTCCCCCCACCATTATTTCTCATTAAATTAAATTAAATTATTCTCTCTCCTATTTTTAACCACACAATCTTTAATAAAATAATATTACACGTAAACCAAAAGTTTTTCTTTTCTTTTCAACCACTCATTTTTCAAAAATAACACTATTCAAAAACATTATAATCTTCAAATAATGGGCTCAAACGGGGGCTTTATGGTGCCAGGAGAACGATGAACAATGTAATATGAGTTTTTAATATTTAGTTTCACATATTTGTTATTGAAAACACGTTTTTGGATATTGAATGATTTATATGATTTTCTTTTCTACACAATTATTATGCACGGTAGTTGTGTGAACATGGTGACTTATTTTATGCATTCAAAAGAAAGGAAATAGGCTCGACATAATGTTTGTAGCAATCAAATCGATATTGATGATATTCAAATACGAATCCATTACTTATTTGCTTTAGGTAAAATCATTTTCTGGAACACTAATATATTGTTGGACCAAGTCAATTTCTGAATCAATTTTCTTCACTTTTTGTGGCTACCGAGGATTTACTTATGTTTATCTAGTGGGAGAGTTATACGGGTGACATTTTCCTTGAATTAAGATTAAGGTTTGTTTCACAAAACTTCTACTTTTATTTTCTATTTTTTGTAAAAAAGTTTATTAAGAAAGTTACGTTAGACAATCTTTCTCTGAAAACTTCATTAGCGAAATAAAATACTTCTATAAAATTATTCAAGATATTCAAAAGTAACTTCTTAATCTCATAAGCAATTTTTAACTTTTAAAAAGTCCTACCAATTGGGCCATCTTTTTGTAGAAAATTGATTTTTAACTTTTAGAAAATAGCACTTTAGTTCTCGACTTTGCTACGAGTAATGAAAACTCCAATTCTTTGTTGGTTCATGGTGCAATCATCGCATGTCAAATTTTATCAAACATCATGTTAAATTTTATAAGCAGTTTTCCCCTTCTAACTCAAGACGGTACCTCAAAAATTTAAAGTCAGACGTGTTTCTGCATACTATCACGGTCCTCTAAGATCTCAAACCAATTTATTTATTTATTTTTAAATTGCATTTTGCTATGGTGTTATGATGAAAAAAACATATAGTTCAAAAATAAGAATAAGTTTTATGTTTACGTTTACATTTAATATTATTTTATTGAAAATATATGGTTGAAATGATGTCAAATCATTATTGAAAAATCAAAAATGTATTTTGATGGAAACTAATGAACTCGGACCGGACCACTGTCCAGGTCCTTTGTTTGTTTGTATCTTGATTGCTTCCTTTGTTTGTTTGTCTAACTAATGAACTCGGAGTGGACCACCATCTGATTTGACGATTTCTGGTTCGAACTGGACGGTCTGGTCCGATTTTAATAAATATGCTAAGAAGTTTTAGAGTACAGAAGGAGGCAAGAAACATGAAGATCGATTCCAAGACTCAAAAATTCAATTCGGTGCTTTCGATTTTTCTTTTCTTTTCTTTGTCGTAACATGCTGGGCTAGATTTTTTTCCCTTATTTTTTTTATTTTTTTTTTTTTGGCGCCAGGAGAACGATGAACAATGTAATATTAGGGCTGGGCAAATCTCCCGAACCGAACCGAACCGATTGAACCGAACCGATTGAACCGAACCGAACCGAACCGAACCCGACGATTCTTGTCAAATTAAATACCGGAACGGGTATCTGAATTGAGAACCGACGGGTACTGTTCGATTCTCGATTTTAGACCAAGAACCGAAGAACCGAATCTTTCTAATTTTTTTTATATTGAGTAAATCAAATTATTTTAAGTTTAATTTTAATTTTTTCTAAACAAATTAAAAAATTAACGATTTCTAAATCCAAATTTTTGGCCCAATAATTTGTTTCATTTCTAATTTTTTAATTTTTTGTCTAATTACCCATTTTATTGTTTCATTTCTTAGCCAAGCAAGATCAAATCCACTAAATAACTCTAAACACCAACACTAAAGTGCATAACGTTGTCTCGACTCTCGCAGCCTCGCTAATATTCCAAAACCTATACAATCATCGACTGATACTGTGACCTTCGCCAACCGAAGCTTTGATCGTAGCGATCGTTTGAATAAGGTAGTTTACTAGTCTCTGAAATTTCAAAACCATTGAATGTATAATTAGTTGTATTTATATAATGTTGTTATAAATATTAAAAAATTTAATTATAGTACAGAACCGAACGGAACGGAACCGAACCCGAACGGTTCCATAATTAAATTTGGACCCGACGGTTCCATTTACTAGATAGCCGAAAAGTTTGGTTCGATTTGGTTCTCTTTAGAACCGAACCGAACCGAACCAACCCACGCCCACCCCTATGTAATATAAGTTTTTAATATTTGTTTCGCATATTTGATATTGAAAACATTGTTTTGGATATTGAATGATTTATATGATTTTCTTTTCTACACAATTATTATGCACAGTAGTTGTATGAATGTGGTGACTTAGTTTATGCATTCAAAAGAAAGGAAATAGGCTCGACATAATGTAAATCGCCATAGGATTCGATATGGGATATAAATATACTGTTATGACTTATGTGAATCTTTATGTATCAATAAGAATTCTTACATTCTTGTATATTCTCATCCGTTATAGAAATATAGTTAGATCATATGCGAGAGTAAGTTTAAAATTACTCAAGAGATAATTTTGAATAAGATAGGATCATTTATTCTTCATATTTCAACCATATTGTCAAAGTGCGGAATTAAAGTTAAAATGATTATTACATGAGAATTCAGGATATCCTAGTGCATTTGTTATTCATTAGATCACATCAATTTTTATTTAGTATAATTTACATTTAGATAGTTAAATTTATTCATAATTGCATAAGTAGCTTATTTTATTTATAATTTTGTCAGAAACAAACACTCTTATTATTCTTGTTTCGGTTAAGATTACGATAATTAAAATCGAACTAAATCAATTTATGTGGAACGATAGTTGGACTCACATAAACTTTATTACTTGTTAACAAATCATATGGTTTTAAATCGAACAATATTATTATATTTTAGATAAAATTTTATTGTATGGTCCATTTATTGGAAGCGAAAACTTTTCATCGGGATAATATAATTCATCATCCCCATACGTTGTCAAATTTTCTGCCTTTTAAATTACTACGTATTCAACTTTGATGCGCCTTGAGATTGCAAATGATTTATTTATAATAATAATAATAATAATTTGAATATTATGTCCAATTGAAAATAAGACTTCTTTTATACATTCCAACAAAACTAAAACTTACATTCCAACAAAACTAAAACTTTGTGCAAGCATAGAGTTTGCATTTGGAAAAAAAAAATATCGATATATTTCCACTTAAAATCATAAGATCGAGATGAAATATGAGATTATTAAGAATGATCATGACATCCTTATACATCATATTTTCAATTTGATTGCATAATTTTCACTATAATTTAAATAAATGTAAAGCTGCGAACATGTTATCCCCTTACAAATTCAAAGAAAATAACGATGTACATTTGTTAGCAACGCCACCTAAGTTTGAGTTGCAACCTCAGGCTAAATAACATGTTAAGATATAACAATACAAACAATAATATTAAATAATAAAATCTAATGCTATTTTCCTCCCAAAGATATTTTCGATTGCATCCAATTTTGAATACTGTCTTGTTCGACATGTTGTCTTCTTACTTATTAGTGACATTGCCCACCAGTTTATCTTCCCATGTCCCTTTCTTTTTTTCTCGTTCTCATTTATCCTCTTTGTCAATGCATTTAGGATAAAAACACATTTTATAATTCAAATCTTATACCCAGCAATAATGGAATCGGAAGAGCCACTGCTTGAAGAAAACAGGGAATGCAAAAGCGTATTGAGTACATGGGGTGCGTTTGCAAAAGAGCTGAATCGGGTGAGTAACCTAGCATTTCCGATGATGGTGGTGACACTTTCTCAGTACATGTTGCGGGTTGTGGCGATGATGATGTTGGGACATCTTGGGGAACTTGAATTATCAAGCGCTTCAATTGCTACTTCTTTTACTAATGTAACTGGATTCAGCGTCATTGTAAGATAATTTTTTTTGTAACAACTTTTGATTCCGACCATGATGGCTACAAGCATATGTTTGAATAGTTTAGTGACTTGTAATAAATTGTTGAGTACTTGAATTCATTAGATTCAAATCCACCCGCAGCGAATGATGTTTCTCAGGTATATTGTGAGTTTACAGTCTTGAAAATTGGTGTTTAAGGATACTGCAAGCTTCAGTTTTACTCTACAGGGAATGTTGGTCTGCTGACTAATTTACTTTGATTTTAAGGCCTTTAGCTTCTGTTCTTTAGCACTTTTTTGTGCTCAGGATTTGATATCGTTTGTTCTAGGATTGACCGACACGAGTAGTATTCTTTTGCTGGGGGAAACTGGGCGATGAAATGTTTCACATGATAAGAATCCTTACCAACTATTGTAGCAACAATTGAACACTTTGTTTGCTATGAAACCTGTTCAGTTGAACCATCAATCTACGTGTAGATTTCTTCAGAAACCAGAGATAAAATCTAACTAGAATCTCTTTTTAGAGGCCACTAGTACTAGATTCTGAAATTTAAATCTTAAGCCTGCTCCTAATTACAGAATAGGAATATTTAGTCAGAGGTGCAGATTAACTTTGATAATGCTAAAAATAGTTTTTCTTACTCAATTCACAAATTATATAATATCCTCACAGCCAATTAAATATTGAATCTTTCTTGCAGTTTGGCATGGCTTGTGCTTTGGAGACTCTGTGTGGACAGGCATACGGAGCAGAGCAATATATCAGAGTTGGAACTTTTACTTATGGTTCTATAATATGTCTCTTACTGGTGTGTTTACCAATATCTGTATTATGGATATATACGGACAAGCTGTTAATATTGATTGGCCAAGACCCTTTAATCTCAGCCGAAGCTGGCAAATTCTCAATGTGGCTCATCCCTTCACTGTTTCCTTATGCTATTCTTCAGTCTCTGGTTCGCTACTTGCAGACTCAGAGTTTGATTCTTCCAATGTTATGGAGTTCACTAGCATCTCTATGCTTCCATTTACCACTTTGCTGGGCTCTAATATTGAAGTTGAAGCTAGGAAATGCTGGAGCATCCCTTTCTATTTGTTTATCGTATGTGTTGAATGTGATTTTACTTGGTCTTTATGTGAAATATTCTTCAGTGTGTAAGAAAACCCATGCTTCATTCTCAAAGGATGTTTTCTTGACTATGAGGGAATTCTTCCAATACGCAATCCCTTCTGCTGTGATGGTTTGGTAATTTCCGTCATCTTCAAACTTTAGAAAACTCAGACCATTTTGCACGTTTTACCTTATTGTCTTATGAACCTTATTAAGTTCCTGTTATTTTGCAATTCAATTGTGTGTAGTTTGGAGTGGTGGTCATTTGAGGTAGTGATACTGCTTGGTGGACTGTTGCCAAATCCAGAGCTGGAGACATCTGTGCTGTCAGTATGGTATGCCTATTTCCTGTACATTTTAGGCATGTTTGTTAAGGTGGATCGGATAGTACTAAACATTATTAAAATAAAAAATGAAGTTTAAATCTTGTCAATTATATTGTCCGGTACGAAACATATTCTTGTTGTTTACAAATTTTAATGTATGTTTAATTTTTTGTTCACTTTTCTCTGTGGGCAGCTTGACAATTACTTCATTGCACTATCTGGTGCAGTATTCTATTGGTGCTGCTGCAAGGTTTGATCTTAATCTCTTTACTCTTAACATAACTATGATCTGAATCTCGATCATAACCAGATAATTATGTATGCACAGAAAACAAGATTACTAATATTTTCTTGTAGTACTCGTGTATCGAATGAACTTGGAGCGGGGAAACCAGGGGCAGCTCGGGTTGCTGTCCTTGCCGTGCTGGTTCTGTCAGTCTCAGAGTTCGTTATAGCAAGCACCATTATATTCTTTTGCCGTTATATATTGGGATATGCATTTAGCAACGAAATGGATGTCGTGAATTACGTCAAAGACATGACTCCTTTTTTTTGCGTCTCCATCATCATGGATAGCCTACAAGCAGTTCTTTCTGGTAATCTTTCCCAGGTTTCTTTATTTAGTTCGAGAATTTATAGTGTGCTTCTGAGATAGTAGCTCTGAAAATTTCAATTTATCTCTTCTATAAAAAGTACAAAGGAACAAGAGAATTTTCCCTTACGGGTCTCTCATCTGGCAAGTCATTTCTTGTTTGCTGCAGGAGTAGCTAGAGGTTGCGGGTGGCAGCATATTGGGGCCTACGTCAATCTTGGAGCATATTACATTGTTGGAATTCCCGTGGCGTTACTCCTAGGTTTTGTTTTGCACTTTAAAGGGGAAGGTCTTTGGAGCGGATTGGTAGCTGGTGCAACAGTGCAATCTCTCTTGCTTGCTCTTATAACATGTCTCACAAATTGGGAAAAACAGGTTTCATTCAAATGTCCATTCTTCTAATGAAGTTGTTTGTATCTGTCATTGCTACTCTTTTGACTTCTGGAAACACTTACCTTGACATGTTTAGTGCTGGCAAAAAAACCCGTCGCTCCCCGAATGGGGCAAAAAAACTTGCCCCACGTGGGGCGGGGCGGGACGGGGCATCAAGCAATATTCTGGTAGTTGCTCAGAGAGAATGATCCGTGCGCCCTTTGAGAGAGGAAAGCCAGGAGGGCAAAGTATATATATATATATATATATATATATTTTTTTTTTTTTTTTATTTCTAAATAATTCACCAGTTAAAAAACTCATTTTGAATTTGTATTTTATTATCTAATAATAACATAACTTGAAACTTTGAAAATGTAAAATAAATAAATAAATAAATAAACTAGACAACAAATGGGGCAAAAAGTTGCCCTAAGGGGACGGGAATTGGGCAAGACAGGGTGAGGTGAGGGCCCCACGCTGTTGCCATCCCTAGATATGTTTAATGAGGTGGATTAGTCTGAACAGAATAATATTAAATAAGAAATGGTTAAAAGTTTGTCCAATGCACTTGACGATAAACATGTATAGTTTTCTTCCTCAGAACCTTTCTAGGGAAAAGTCGCAGCAATAACAGAAAATTATTGCCGCTGTGCAGAGTTGGTGTGTAGGTCGACTAATTTTTCTTATAAATAGGGAATTATCAATAGGGTTTATTTCGTCATCAAAAAAAGAAATGGAGGTTAGAGAAAATAACGTGTGATGCTTTTCTCTTAAAAATTTCTTTTAATCATAATGAATTAATGCAATGGTGGAGGAAGACATAGTCTCACATTAAGGTGAACATCTATAAATTTTGCATGTTCTTATATGTCTATTTTCTTTTTGCAATATTTTTGCTCTTAGTGATATAGAATTAGAGTTTCTAATTCTCAACACGGATACTGCAGGCAACGGAAGCGAGAGGGAGAATATTTGACGGAAAAATTCCAACTCATGACGAACTCATATGAGAGAATGACGAACCTAGAGAATCATGATTTCCTTATAGAATAGTATTTCAGGGAGCATTACATTTATATTAGGAAGATCCTTCGAATAACCATTGTTGATCAAAGTGTCAAGAATTTTGGACCAGAGACTCTGCACACGGAGAATTGCAAGCTCGATAGGTGAAGCATCGCTTTGCAAACGAGACATACCAAGTGGACATTGTTTTCTTGATTCAAACGCGTCCTAACAAAAAATACGGATGTGCCTCAGTATAATTTCTTCTTGCAGTATCCTATATAACTTGATTGCAAGATCACTCAAGTATTCATAACAAAATGGGGATATGTATTAAACATCGTTGCATGATTCATTTTTATCTCCCATACTGTTGATATTCTTGTGCTTACTGATAGTTATTTGTCTCATAGTTGAAAATCTTACTTGAATATACTGTTTTATGAGAACGAAAGGGGAGAGCGATGTTTGACGCCATTATAGTAAGTTTATCCGTGACATTTTGCTAATTTATAAAAGAAATAGTGTGTTTTGTCCAAGGTTTTGAAATTGGTTATGATGATAAATTGAGAAGCAACTACACTTGTTACTGTTACCACCGAGAACAATAAAACCATAGAAATAAAGACGGACAAGAACACACAAAATTTATAAAGATTCGCCTGAGATTGTGTCTTTGTTTGTCACTATCGTAATTCACTATAATAAAACGAAATTCACAAAAAGAAAAATTGTATATCCTATTTCCTATAACCTCTCTCTTTCTTTTATATGATGATATTGTTGGAAAAAAAATGAGTGAGCGGCTTACTCTTGACACAATTTTCAATGAGACCCGTTGGTTCAATTTGGAATATTAAAGTTGATATGTGTTCTCTTCCACAAGAACATCGAAGTCATGTATTTATTTGCCAAAAATGAAACTCGTGTGAATGAGAAATTGGAGTTTAAAGTGGACCATTGGAAATAGTCTATGTTGGTGGGAAATGGTGTGATCATGTGTAACTTAGAGGTTCTTTCCACGTGCACGCGCAGGGGGTGCAAATTACAGATAGAAATAGCCTTCGGACCCGAACTTGGGTGCAGGCGCGACCTGCGTATACAAATGTCGGACCGAACGGAGCAAAAACTAGCCAGTTTGGATCGTTTTTCATTTTTTTTTTTTTGGTTTTTCCAAATGACTTTTGAGTGTCTGAAACTTCTAAAACTCCAATCGTCAAAACCGAAGTGTAACACCGAAAACTGCAATGGTTAATGGAAAAACTAATTGTCAGATTCAGTCTGTTTAATTTCACTCAATTTTCAGTAGTTTATACATTGCAATTTTTGCCTGCCTTTGTACAGTTCTGTTTTCTGTTTTTGTTCCGTCTCCTCCTGTGTCCATTCCGGTAAGGTGATATTGTTCGAACACTCGCCCAATTCGCCGGAGTAGAACCGCGGTGCTCGGATTCTGCTCGTTACCGTTGTATCCTGGGAGACGTGCACTTGAACTAAACCTCTAGCACTATGGTGAGGGGGCGAATTTGTCTTAAGAAAACTGTGTTTACACAGGCCTCGGGGTTAAAAGTTTATTTTCAAATATATATACTTCCAGTTTGAGTATCTGTGCTTTAATTATTTGCAGATTTACATGCTTTCAGATTTTATTTAGCTTTCTAAAATTTATACTGCTTTTATGATTCTCCAAATAATATAATTTGTCATTCTTATTCAAGTAGTGATTTAGATAATAGTTTGTATCTAAGTATTTGTGAAAAATAAAATTAAGAAAAAATTTATCTGAATTTTTTTCGAAATTGTGTTTGTGCAAATTATATGAAAACAAACACAAAATTCTATGTTATCTAAAGTCATTGTATGAAAACAAATAGTTGTGAAAATTCTATGTTTAATTCTCTGTCAAATACGGTCACTGCCATATACGGTGAGCAGTTGTCAAATACGGTAAGCAACTGCCAAATATGGTAAGCAATTGTCAAATACGATAAGTGTGAATCTGATGTCTAGAACACAAATACGGTAAGCAGCTGCCAAATACGGTAAGCAATTGCCAAATACGGTAAGTGTGAATCCGGTGTCTAAAGCACAAATATGATATATGAGAGCCAGATTCCACTCCATACACTACCGATTAAATATAACAGAAAACTTAAGATAAGTTCTTAATACGTATTGGTAGTAAACAAGTTTATTTGTTTATTGAAAACTAATAATTGTTTCATTTTCAGAAATGGCTGCCGAACCAACCAACATGGATGTGACCTAAACCGTTCCTGTTGGAAATCAAGTTGTGGGCTCTACTATAGCTCAAGGGCCAAGCTCTATTGTGGCTAACTTGCCTAGTCGTGTTGTAAGTCAAACTGTGGTTCCAACAACTGGCCAAATGGTTACTATTCTAGTTAATCATGGAGAGAAATCGAAGAAATTCAATGGCTTGAATTTCAAGAGGTGGCAGCAGAAAATGTTGTTTTACCTGACCACCTTGAATCTTGCGAGATTCTTGACTGAGGCTGCTCTTGTACTCAATGAAGGAGAATGAGATATTCAAGCAGTCAGTGCACTTGATGCTTGGAAGCATTCAAACTTTTTATGTTGAAACTACATAATGAATAGTTTAGTTGACACGCTATACAATGTGTATAGCGCGATGAAAACTGCTAAGAAGTTGTGGGAGTCTTTGGACCAAAAATACAAAACTAAGGATGTCGGGGCTAAAAAGTTTATAGTCGACAGATTCCTAGACTATAAGATGGTGGACTCCAAAACTGTTATCAGTCAAGTGTAAGAACTCCAAATGATTCTTCACTGAATTCATGCCGAAAGGATGGTGTTGAGTGAAACCTTTCAAGTGGCAGCAATTATTAAAAAATTGCCCCTCGCATGGAAAGATTTCAAAAACTATTTCCAACACAAACGAAAGGAAATGACCGTTGAAGAACTTATTGTTAGACTTCGAATTGAAAAAGATAACAAAAGTTCATAAAAGAAGTGGTTTAATCCTGGTATGGCTAAAGTCAATGTTGTGGAGTATGGTCAAAACAGTAAGACTTACAAAAACAAGTTTGGGCCATCCGATAGAAAAAAGACCAAGCACGACCGAATGGTGAAATTTCTAAGAAGAAATTTCAAGGGAAATGCTTCAATTGTGACAAAGTAGGCCACAAGTTAAGAGTGGCAGCAGAAAATGCTGTTTTACCTGATCACCTTGAATCTTGCAAGATTCTTGACCGAGACTGCTCCGTACTCAATGAAGGAGAATGAGTTATTCAAGCAGTAAGTACACTTTATGCTTGGAAGCGGTCAGACTTTTTATACTGAAACTACATTATGAATAGTTTAGTAGACACGCTATACAATGTGTATAGCACGATGAAAACTGTTAAGGAGTTGTAGGAGTCTTTGGATCGAAAATACAAAACTGAGGATGCCGAGGCTAAAAAGTTTATAGTCGGCAGATTCCTAGACTATAAGATGGTAGACTACAAAACTGTTATCAATCAAGTGCAAGAACTCCAAGTGATTCTTCACGAAATTCATGCCGAAGGGATGGTGTTGAGTGAAATCTTTAAAGTGGCAGCAATTATTGAAAAATTGCCCCCCGCATGGAAAGATTTCAAAAACTATTTGAAACACAAATGAAAGGAAATGAACGTTGAAGAACTTATTGTTAGACTTCGAATTGAAGAAGACAACAAAAGTTCAGAAAAGAAGTGGTTCAATCCTGGTGTGGCTAAAGCCAATGTTGTGGAGTATGGTCAAAGCAGTAAGACTTATAAAAACAAGTTTGGCCATCCGGTGGAAAAAAGACCAAGCACAGACAGAAAGGTGGAATTTTTAAGAAGAAATTTCAAAAGAAATGCTTCAATTGTGACAAAGTAGACCACAAGTCTTCTAAGTGCAGAATGCCAAAGAAGAAGACGAAAGAAACAAATGCAGTTGACAAGACGTCTCAGAAATAAATCTTTTGAGTGCATAATGCCAAAGAAAAAGACGAAAGAAACAAATGTAGTTGACTACATGGCACAAGATGTCTCAGAAATGAATCTCGCAGCTGTCATTTCTGAAGTGAAATGGTGGGTTCAAACCCTAGTGGATTGACACCGGTGCTACAAGGCATGTGTGCTCTGATAAAAAGCTATTGCTACGTTCGAAGCAATTGAAGACGAAAGAAACAAATGTAGTTGACTACATGGCACAAAATGTCTTAGAAATGAATCTTTTGAGTGCAGAATGCCAAAGAAGAAGACGAAAGAAACAAATGTAGTTGACTACATGGCACAAGATGTCTCAGAAATGAATCTCGCAGCCGTCATTTCTGAAGTGAACATGGTGGGTTCAAACCCTAAGGAGTAGTGGATTGACACCGGTGCTACAAAGCATGTGTGCTCTGATAAAGAGCTGTTTGCTATGTTCGAAGCAATTGAGAACGAGAAGAGCTGTTCATGGGAAATTCAGCAACCTCTAAAATCAAGGGTCAAGGGAAGGTGGTTCTAAAAATGACCTCGGGAAAGGAGCTGACTCTCAACAATGTGCTATATGTGCCGAAAATTTGTAAGAATTTAGTGTCCGGGTGACTTTTGAATAAGCATGATTTTCGCATTGTATTTGAGTCAGATAAAGTCATTCTATCAAAAAGTGGAGTGTTTGTCGGAAAAGGTTATGTTTCCAACGGTATGTTTAAGCTGAATGTAATGGTTGTGAAACTAAAATGAATAAAGCAAATTCTTCTGCTTATTTGCATGAGTCTTCCAATTTGTGGCATGGTAGACTAGGACATGTTAACTATGATACTTTACGTAGACTAGTTAACTCGAATTGCATACTCAAGTTCCACAATGATTTCGAACATAAATGTGAAACTTGTGTTGAGACAAAATTGACAAGGTCATCCTTTAAGTCAGTTGAATGGAACACAGAACCACTTGATTTAATTCACAGTGATTTTTATGACTTAAAACTTGTATAAACAAGAGATGGCAACAAGTATTTTATTACTTTTGTCGATGATGGCACAAATTACTGCTATGTGTATCTGCTTAAAAGCAAGGATGAAGCTATAGAGAAATTTGTTTTCTATAAGAATAAAGTTGAAACTCAACTTAATAAGAAAATTAAAGTACTACGGAGTGATCGAGGTGGTGAGTATGGAACACCGTTTGTCGATTTCTGTGCACAACACGAAATCATATATGAAAACACCGCACCTTATTCACCGCAACAAAACGATGTAGTTGAACGAAAAAATAGTACCTTAAAAGAAATGATGAATGCAATGCTAGTAAGTTCTGAGTTACCTCAGAACATGTGGGGGGAAGTTGTTATCAGCAAATTACCTTTTAAATAAGGTGCCCCGAAAGAAATCGGAAAAGACCTCATATGAGTTATGGAAAGGAAGAA